TCGGCCGTGCCCTCGTCGGCCACGCCCTCGTCGGCCAAGAAGACCTCCCAGAATCAGATTTTATACTTACTCATTTGTACAGCCCATTAGTGGCTTTGTATTCGACCCAGTAGCGGTCCAGTTGTAAATGGGCCTCCCAAGCCCAAGGCTTGGGAGCCCAACCCTAATTTTCTCTATAAATACTCCCCTTGGGAGTAGTTATGGGGGTTACAAATTCATTCTGTTGAAGCATATTATTGCACTTCTCTCTCTAGCTCTCACTTCTCTCTAGATATACTCTATCAGGTAGACATAAGGATTTGGTTCAGCCCATGTAAGGATATGTACTTGAGCCTGATGCTCTAGAATTGCATGGGTGAACATGACGTCGAAGATTGGTGGAGTAATTGACTTGTGATTGATGTGCATGGTGATGTAGTCGAGTTGGACTCGAGAAATGCAAACATGTGTGTTAGGGTTGAACCCTATGTATTGTCATGAGTAGGGGTCACGGGGTTTGGGTTATGTTTTGTAAACGAACTTTGGGCCATGGGCCGACTACTTGACTTTATATATAAAGTAAGTATATTTTAAAAAGGGGTAACTTGGGGTTACGGCCTAGAATTATATTATCACCTTATTTGAGGGTCTTGTGTTTGAAATACTTGTTGTATATCTATTAGATGTCATCCACACCAGTACTTTATAGCCGTATAGAGTACTGACCCCCTTTCGGGGGGCATCCCACCTCCATTTCAGGTTGAGGCTAGAGCTTGCTACATGTGCTTGTTGATCGGGTGATCATCTCGGAGGGAAGACTTGGTTCGTGCTTCCTCCATTCTGTTTTTAAACAATTTAAACATGCTCATGGATATTGTTTTTTCATTATGGAGCCTGTGTGCTCGTGTTTGCCCCGTGTGGCACTTGTTTTCAAACTATGATTTCCGCTGCGTATTCAATTACTTATTATGTATGTTTATGGATGACTTATGTGTGAATGATATTCGAGACGCCTTGTATAATATGGATGAGTTAGACTGCGGTTGACTATTCATATTGTACGGCGGATTGTTGATGTGTCCGGATAGGTCCGGGGCGTGACATATTCCTTTCCCCCAAGTTATGAAATACATATCAGTATATATACACTTGGAAAATACCTGACCCGTAGGTCGTTATTTATTTGGGAAAATAGTAGTAGTCAATATCCTTAACTTAAAATCCTAACCCACTCATATACCTATGAGTGTATAGGACTACTCCTCCTGGTCCAAATCAAATACCATAAGGACACAACCCAATCCTAAGGTACTAACCGTAGTCTATGAGTTTTGAGGACACCGCCCGGTCCTTGGGTACTCCACCCGATTATATTCCGAGTTTTGAGGACACATGCTCGGTCCCTGGGTACTCCACCCTACATAACCAAGTTTTGAGGATAAACGCCCGATCCCTGAGTATTCCACCCTACATAACCGAGTTTTGAGGATACACGCATGATCCTTGGGTACTCCACCCGACATAACCGAGTTTTGAGGATACACGCTCGATCCTTGGGTACTCCACCCGACCTATGATCTACCATATATCATACAAGATAGGGTCTATATCATAATCAATAATCAAGACTAAACCAATTCTTAAGGCTTAAGCATAATCATCCATGCAAAGCACATTAAAAATAACTCGTCGGCAAAACTGGGACGAACCGGCGCCGGTTCAAGCCCTGACCGGCTCCATTTCAAATAAATTTAATTTATTTTTATAAAGCCGAACTCGGACCGGCACCGGTTCAAGCCATAACCAACGCCGATTCAGTGCATTCTTCAAGATCAACGCTTCGTTGACCACCCGAACCAACTCCGATTGATCCGAAACTTAACCAAAATGTGCATTAGGTCTTAAACTATCAATATTTTCCATTTTGTCCATTCAAAACATCACATATGTTTTTATAACATTTTCATATCGTTTTCATGCATATCCTTGTAGTTCATTTTCACATAAGTCTAATCATCTTGGATAATCACATGCTTAAACTCTTTTAACATCATTATGAACATGTATAACATTTATTTAGGTAATCTCATACTTAACCCAAGAGTTACAAGACGTTAAGCCATCCACTCACCTCGAATGAGCTTTAAAAAGTTCTACTCTTCTTGGTTGAACTCCGGCGAAACTCCGGTGAACTTTGTTGAACTCCGGTGATAACTCCGGTGACTCTTTTAACTACGTGAAAGTACTAGGAACGCCTTAGACAAGTTCCTAACAAGGTTTTATCATCACAAAACCCATATGAATACAAATAACCTCTAAAAGGTTATTTTTCAGTGAACCGGTCACTTTGGCTTCTAAGTCCATTCTTGGACTTAGAACTACCTTCCAACCCATCATTATATAGTTCTAAACATGTAAAGAATTCCTAGGAGTACTTCATATGATATATAAGTCATATAATAATCAAATGATGGAAGAAAAGTTACTAAAGAGCTTCTCACATTTTTTCTCACATTCTCTACTTTTTCAACTCTTTCTTCTTCCTTGAGCTCCTTGATTGCTTGAGCTCACTTGGCTATGTAGGAATGGTGTTTTTAAGGCCTCTCTATCTCTATTGGATGTGCTTGGTCGGAGTGATTATAGGGGGGAGGGATGGTAGAGACATCCTTTGTCTCGATAACAATGATTGAGAGGAGAGGGTCCTCCTTAATTAGGTCAACTCTCACCCAACCCATCACTCTCAATCCTCCTTACAACTCAACCTATCATGCACAGCTCTCATTTGACATCTTGAGCAGCCAAAAAGCGGTGGCCCCCACTCATGTGGTAGGTCATCCCAATATGTCCCGAAGTGTACATTCGGCCCTGAATGTTATATTTCTCGGACTGTTTTAATTATATTTTATTTTTATCCGGCGAAATAAAATATATCACATGTTCCAAATCACTCTGGGCCTTTATAATTAATATACATTCCTGAACTTTAATTTAGAAGTCCCCGTAATTCACTTCCGGCTGTTATCTGATAAATTACCAATACCGGTAATTGGGTCTCGCTTGACCAACCAGTCAACCCTATGCCTTTTCTATGGCCCAACTAGAATATCCACAACCATATACATATTATCTAGACCAAGACAAATATAATATGTGGTCCCAGAAATATCGGGTGGTCTCCGTTCCCAGTGTGGGTCTCACGTGCAATTTACTATTCACACAAAAGTAATAACAAAAATTTACAACCTCATAAATTCATTAATCATTTCATAAAGTTCAATACATTATTTACTTAAAATTCAATATACTTGTGGGCGGTGTTTCAAGCGGTGGCGGGGAACAAAATTTGATCAAAGAGGGATTAAATGGAGGGGATAGGACAAGATGTGTCACCCACGCAGTCAGGGAGGCTTGGGGTTTAGACAGTAGTGGATTTTAATTTGGGTATACTTTCTAAACAGGCATGATGGCTGGTGATGGATGAGAGAAGTCTGGTGGGTCGAGTGTTTAAAGCCAAGTATTACCAAATTTTTCTTTCTTGGATGCTAATATGGGAAATAATCCTTCTTATATTTGGCGGAGTATTATGGACTCACAAATTATCCTAAAAACGCATATTCACAAGAGAGTAGGTAATGGCAAAGATACTCAGGTCAGGGCAAATAGGTGGTCACCTGGGGAGGGATCCGGTTTGGTTCAATATGCTCAGCCAAATGGGATTCAATATGAATGTGGCGGCTTTGAGAGATAAAATTGGAAGAGCATGGAACGTTAGTAGGGTGAAGACTTTATTCTCACAGGAGGAGAGTGAGAAGATTTTGAGCATCCGTGATTAGCTTATATGACAGGGCAGATAGTGTGTGTTGGGTGGGGGAGGAAATGGCATTTTCTCAATTAAAAGCTGTTATAAATTAATCACAGGGACGCGGCGCCCTCTGCTTGGATGGGATGGACCTTGATGTGGTCGTTAAAATTTCCTTCGAAGTTAAAATATTTCTTTTGACAACTTATCGATGGATCCCTCCCTACATCAGTAAATCTTAATAGGAGGGGGATCAGTTTATCTTTGAATTGCAGGTCCTGCGGTGAGGGTGAGGATTCGGCAGTGCACATTTTTCGTGACTCCCCGGCAGCTCGAGAAGTGTGGCGGGTAGCGAGATGGAAGCAGTTTGATCCGGGGTAAATGAGACGGGAGGCATTAGGGCTTGGAGCTGGGTTGCCCGTTTGGATCAGGGGTCGTTCATCAAAGCAGCTACCAGGTCCAGGAAGGGTGATTGGAGTCCTGCTGAGTCAGATGCGATGGGAGTTAGAGCAACAGTGGAGGATGTGCTCAAAGAAAGGTGGGATTGCGTGGAGTTTGAATCGGATGCATTGTTAGTTGTTAACGATGTGCGAGGAGTGTAGGGTGGCTCATACATTGAACTATTGTTTGAAGACATTCAGAGTTTATTGAAAGTTAAGAGTGAGTTTAGTCTCTCTTATTGTAAACGATATGTGAACCACATTGTTCATGTCCTAGCTAGGAAAGGTGTGTTACTACCAGATCACGATAGTTATTTTGATGAAGTTCCAGTTAGTGTTGTAAGCCCGTTGGCTAACGATTTGTTGAATTAGTAATATGATAGTTGTGTTTTTTCAAAAAAAATCCTATTGAGTAAGATATTGTAAGATTAAATACGTTATTTATATTAGATTGTTGACATAAAAAGAAGAAAATAAATACTCATTTCATCCCACTAAAATTGTCCCATTGTTTTTCGATATGTCTCACTAAGATTGTCTCATATCAAATTTGATAAAATTTGTATGATTTCATATAATTCTTACTTTACTTTTAATTTATCAATATCAATCGTATAAAGTCACTTTTTTAATAATAATGGCAATTAGTCTGTGCAAATCTCATAATTGAGGACATTTACGCTTCACTTTATCATAATGGTTTTATTTTGTATAACATTTTTTGGGTAAGGTTTTATGTCCCCATTTGTTATTTACGATGTTCTTTAATCAAACTACCAGTCTCACTTGGTGATAGGAGTATTGCAATAGATCAAAACTACCAGTCTCCTCATGTCCGTATGAGATGGAAAGTTCAAAAAAACTTGGAATAGATTACATTTATATGTAGCCTAAAATGAGCTAATAGATCAAAGGTCAATTAAAGGGGGTAATGTATAGAAGGATTAGAAGGCCTGTACTGTCGCACAGATAGAGTATGGAATTAAGAGTGAGAAGCTTCAGCAAAGGACATTTTCTGTACACATTAACCCTACTGGCACCTTGTTGACAGCCGGCAGTGCTCTCTCGAGGCGCTTTCGGCCACAGCCGTCGGCTTCAGGCTCCGAGGTCGACCGATGCGATTGTGCACCTCACATGTTGCCCTTCTGCAATGCCCTATCTCCCATCACAATCTCGCATTTTCGCAATCAAGCCCAACTCTCGAACCAACCATAAGAACCTCCAGCGCCCTTGCTTAGTCCAGAAGCTTATTGATCTCTGCTCACACGGCCACATCAAACAAGCGGTTGATTCTCTGTACTTGTTAGCTCGTAAAGGCCTGCGTTTAGACTCCAAAACCATAGGTTTTCTCTTACAACAATGTGCTGACTCGAAAGCTATTAAACAGGGGAAATGGATCCATCTTCATCTCAAACTCACAGGTCTAAAGCACCCAAGCACATTCATAGCCAACCATTTGATCAATATGTATAGCAAATGTGGTGATCACGTCGAAGCACGGAAAGTGTTTGATAAACTGACCACAAAAAATATCTATTCTTGGAACACAATGCTCTCTGGGTATGCTAAACTAGGGATGGTAAAGCCTGCCCTAAAGCTGTTTGAGAAAATGCCTGAAAGGGACATGGTTTCGTGGAACATCATGGTCATTTCGTATGCACAAATTGGATACTTGGACAAAGCTATCCAATTCTATAGAGAGTCAAGGATAACAAATTTCATGTTGGACGAGTACAGCTTTGCTGGGGTTGTTAGTGTCTGTGTCAAGGCAAAGGAGTTGCATTTGACAAGGCAAGTTCATTGCCAGGTGTTGGTTTCTGGATTTTTATCGAATTTGGTCCTTCCCAGTTCGCTTCTTGGTGCATATGCTTCATGTGGGGAGATGGGAGAAGGTAGGAGGCTGTTTGATACAATGAAAATCAGGGACGTTCTCACTTGGACCACATTGGTTTCAGGATATGCAAAATGGGGTGAAATGAAATCAGCTAGAGAAGTGTTCAAAATGATGCCTCTGAAGAGCCCTGTGTCTTGGACTGCTTTAATTTCTGGTTATGTCCGAAATGGTTTCTGTGTTGAGGCCATTGTCATCTTTGGAGAGATGATGAAGAGTCAAATCAAACCAAACTGGTTTAACTTTAGTAGTTGCTTATCCGCTTGTGCCAGTATATCATCACTTGTTATTGGTAAACAAATTCATGCCTTATTGATAGTAACTGGAATGAAACCTAATACAATTCTATTAAGGTCTCTCATCGACATGTATTCAAAATGCGAAAGTTTGGAAGATGGGGAGAGGGTGTTTAATGTTCTGGGTGTCAATCAAAAGGCAGTATTTGGATCACAGTGATATGTGCACTCTCACAGCATGATGATGGTCAGAAAGCATTCTGACTAATTTGAATCTTGTGTAAAATGAGATAGAGGATTACCTTTCTCATAAACCTCACCCGGGGCTTGCCTTTTTTTTTTATAAGCCATTCGTGCACATGATATTGCTCTACAGCATTAGGATCGGATATTAAGAATTATGTTGGGACTAATTCAATCCCAAAAGAGCTTTCAAAAGATGAGGATTGTTGTTGAACACTTATTAAAGGACTATTCGTTCTGTTTATATAGGACCCTCTCCAATATTACACTTGCATATTTGATCTTCTGGGCAGAACCAGACATTTTGATCTCCTGATACATCATATTAGAAAGATGCCTTAATGACATGGTGATGATTGTTTGGAATGCCTACTTGGTGTGCGTAGGATTGGCAATGATGTAGAGTTTTCCGCAGAAAAGCATATTTACATGCCCCGTCTACTTATATGTTACTGTCGAGTATATACGCCTCTCTTGTCTTGGAAATAGGAGTATGTAGAGAAAAGGGCAGTGCGCTTATGAATGAGTTCTGGTAAAAGAAACATTTAGGCCAATTGGTGGTTTACTCCTTCGTCTGCTTGGTTAGCAAATTCACTGTAAATTGTGTCTATTTATGCAATGTTATACGGAGTAACTCATAAGCCATAACTTTTAAATGCAAGCATACCCAATTTTGGAATCTTCTAGCTACTCAGAATGAATGATCATCATTTCTTATAAATGCTTACACCTTCCTCTCTCTTTTTACTTCCTTTTTCCTTTTAGAATGTACTCTTGACACTATTGCCTTTATCAAAAGATGACTCCTTATCTCTAAGGGTCCCCGAAACAGGTAGAACGGTTATCTGCTAAGATGTAAATTGAGTTGTGATCACATACAAATCCAGAAAGGGTGGGATTTCGGTCCAAATCTTTGCCTAAAATTGAAACCGAAACATCTCCCCTGTGACACTTCATCTCACCAGCGGGTCTTTACCAAAGTAATACAACTATTGAATCGGTTTTATTCTTTGAAATAAAATTGTACTCCTTTGCCTTACAAAACTTTGACAAGTTTCATTTTTTAACCATCCCAATAAACTTTGTCATTTTCAATTAAAGTAATAAATATGTGGCTAAAATTACTTTTCTCTGCTCTGGACAAATTCCAGCCACACGATTTGTACTTTATTATTTTAATTTTTACATGCACGTAAACTTTGGTCAAATTTTATCAGACGGATGGAGCATTTATAGTATTCATTCAATTTCAATTATTCGTCTTGAATACAAGCCTCAAGTTTTAGATAAATTATATAGACCAACTTTGTAGAGCCCTTTGGTAACTTAGAGTTTTGACTAATCGACCTTACGAATCAGTTTTTTTACTAAACATTGGATTATGGCTTCGTGCGCTCAATGATATAGTAATTAAAATAAGTAAGGTTGAAGTTACTTTTGCTGAATTTGCTGAAATTACTATTTTACTTTTTATCGTATAAGTTTTTCTATATTTCACTAATAAAATACACTTTAAAATGATATTTTCATAATTCCTCAAATTAAGATAATTTTAGTGTTACGTTGCACGCGCTCATGGTTTATAGGGAAAAATAATAAAAATACCCCAAACTTTGATGGGTGAGGTAAACACCCTAAACTTGCATATTTAATGTAAATACCCCAAACTTCATATAAAATGTTATTTTCACATCATTGTCATTCATTATTTCTTTCAAAAATGTAAATTTATGGGGTTAATTGCATGATTTAAAATAGAAAATTAAAAGTGTTGCAATTATATAGATTAGGGGTAACATTACTTATTTTGCAATGGAAGTTTAAAATGTTAATTGTGTCTTCATGAGTTCTTAAACATTTTAAATTATGCAATTAACATCATAGATTTACATTTTTGAAAGAAATAATACTTGACTATGGTGCCAAAACAACTTTTTATATAAAGTTTGGGGTATTTAAATTACATATGCAGAGTTTTCTTCTTGCACCCCTTCAAAGTTTGGGGTATATTAACTATTTTTCCCTAGTTTATACCATGTGTTTTCATTTTTTTTTTGTAAAAAAATTCAATAAAATTCAATAGTTTAGCTGTTTAGTCATATTTATGAATTCATCCACCCATGATGTTTCGCTAATACTTAAAGAAGTTGGAGTGTCACCTTATTTCTAGACATGTCCCTTTAGTTAATTCAAATGGTTCAATACCTCCGAGCCAGGTGAGTGTATTACTTGGGCCTAACATGCAATACTCTTAGAGCATTTTCAATGTTCATGGTTGATTGGTTCCATTGGTTGAAAAGTGTCAAATAAATGGAAAGGGTGTATTTAATTTGTGGGCTAAAAGTAATAAAGCGGAACGAATGAATAGGTAAAAATAAATGCAATTATTGAAAATAAACGTAGAAGCTGAGAATGGAGGTGAGATTGTTGTTCTCAATGTAAAGTGTAGACCTCCTATTAAGGAGTTTGAATTTGTAAATATTGCAAATTGCAATTAAAAGTATTGATTGGGTTGATTATGCACACTTGTCTATGAAATAAATTGAATGTACATTTCTAAAATAAAAAAAAAAAGGATGACACCCCATCCCTGAGGGCCTCCCAACCCCGACCGGACGGTACGTTGGGAGGATGTAAATTGGATTATAATCCTAATCTAACAGATAGAGAGTGGGGCTCTGTCCCCGGTACTTGCAGAGGACCTATATATTTTTAGCATAGTAACCCCTTATCGCAGTTGTCAGGATTCGAACCCGGGACCTAACCCTTGTGACACTCTCCGTTCCTGCAAGTTGAGCTACGCCCACCGGTATACATTTCTAAAAGAAGCAGTATAGATGAGAGTCCTTTTTAATGGATCCCTTATATGATTGGATTGATAAAACTAATAAAATTGGGTAAATGCCTACGGAAAGTTCGTGTCTGCATTACGTTTAGAATGCAAATATTAAATGGGTAACGACTTGTTGTTTGTCTGTGCAAGCACCAAAGGGAGAAGAGTCCTCTGCAGGAGGGGAATGCCAGGATCTTCTCCTTGTTTTTTTCCATTTTCTTTTAAATTTTCATGATATTTTTTACGTTTGTGTTCTAATTGTTTGATTGTGTGTGAGAATGGGCGCTGAGTGGTCCAAACAGGTTGACCGACAAAAGGCAATCCATGTAGAAAGGAAATCATTGTCAGAGCTCAAACAGACATGGGATTGCACTGAATTCCCGGGTTCAGATTACCATCCTGCTGACCGGAAAAACTGGATGGGAATCCTAGGCCCGGATAAAGTTTCCATAGATATGATCATATGGCCGGGAACTCATGATTCTGCTACAGACAAGATCGGCATCCCTCTCATCTCTCGCCCGTTCGCACAATGTCAAACCCTGTCAATCTACCAACAACTCGTAATGGGTACCCGAACTCTCGACATTCGGGTTCAGGAGGGCAGAAATGTCTGCCACGGGATCCTCACCACATATAGCTTCAACATTGTCATACGCGATGTCAAGAAATTCCTATCTGAGACACAATCCGAGATCATAATCTTGGATATCCGTACGGAGTTCGGGCACAAAGACCCGCCCTGATTTGACAAGTACTTGGAAGGACAACTTGGGGAATATCTCATCCGACGGGACATCAATGTATTTGGGAAGACAATAGCAGAGTTGTTGCCGAAGAGAATCATTTGCTTCTGGAAGCCAAGGAAAGCGGGTCCCACCTCCATGGGGCCACTCTTGTGGACTGCAGAATATCTCAGGGACAACTGGACAGACACAGACTTGCCGCAGACCAAGTTCGACAACAACATTAAGCATTTGAGTCAGCAGCCGCCAGTGGGATCCAGGAAGTTCTTTTACAGAGTGGAGAATACAGTGACCCCGCAGGCGGATAATCCGGTGGTGTGCGTTAGACCCGTCACAGATCGGATCCGCCCGTATGCTAGGCTATTCATAAATCAGTGCATCTCTCTGGGTATTGTGGACAGGTTGCAGGTGTTCTCTACGGATTTTATCGATGAGGATTTTGTGGATGCTTGTGTTGGGCTCACCAATGCAAGGATCCAAGGACTGTTATGAGTTTCAAGGCGTCATTGAAATGATAATGTGATTAACTGCTTTAATCAATTGCTTCTCACATGTGAATGAATGGAAATATATTTGCTTTTAGAGAAAAAATGGATTATAAATATGCCAAGAAAGCTACTTTCTGGGGATTGGGGGGAGATGCATCAGCGGCTGCCTTTTGCCCTACAAAAGGTATTCCTCAGAAACATTTCTAGCCGTTGGAACATTAAAGCAAATGCACCTGTACAAGGAGAATAAAGAACAGTTGTAAGTACCCAACTTTAAAAAAACACATAATGGATTAGTGGGGAGTTGGGGACCATTTATCATCATGACAACTAACATTATTGATTTATGTTTACAATGAGGGATTCTTTGATTCAAGCAATATCATATTATTACCTTAAACATTCAGAACACAACCATTTTCATTACCTTGGAAATTATACATACTCCGTACAATATAACATGCCCAGATTTGCCAAGAAAATAAGAAACCGAAGGTAACCCATATCACCTCCAAATGGAAAGGTTACACGCATCAAAACATAAACCCAAGGTAATGCAAATATGTTTTACTCCCTCCATTTTTTAGTAGTCAATCCATTGCGTTTTTCACGGTTTAAAAAAGGGGCACACTGCTGCAGATTGGCACCCCCGGGGAAGGGTCCTACCATGAATGGTAGACGCAGAGTATATAAATAGTATGAGGGCAAATGAAAATGTAGAAAGAGTAGAAAAAGAAAATTAAGAGCAAGGATATATATATGTACTTTGACATGATCATATTTTCCGAATTAGGAAAGTGAAGCAAGTATTAATAAACTTCCCAAAAAGACTACCGAGCAACTTACCAAAAACGGATGTAACGTAAGAAGACTACTGAGCAAACAGAGTCATAATGAAGTTTTCAAATATACTTGGTCCCAAAAAAGTGTAATATTTGTTCAAAGGACAACTCTATAACTGCTACAGATCATAAAACCAACTTATTCTTAAAAAGATGTTGTCTAACTAAATTTATCATATGTGATTGTGTGGTGATTATTTTAAGATTAAAAGGCTGTTTGAAACAGGACTATGGAAGTAGAAACCTGAGCTGGTAGAAGTGTCTTTCTTCTGCAAAGATCCTTTCACTAAAAGTGTCCCTGGTATTTGCTGAAACACCTGGAAGGGTAGAATACATAAGCAACCACACAGTCCACACTAATGAAGGCTCATGTTATTAAAAAAGGTTGCAAGCAAAATTACTGAAACACGGAAGTGCAGGTCATTTGTTTGATTAACATGGTCTCCGTTCTGCGTCTCAATGGGCTTCAGAAGGACATCAGGATGTTCCTTGGAACACATTATCTGTTAATTACAAATTTTGTGATTTAGCTGGAAAAAATATATGATTAATTGATGACCTCACAGAAAAATATCGAAACGTACATCAACGTTAAATGAGGCAGCATTTAGTTTACACAATGCACCATTGCTACTGGAAAATGACTCCACTGATTTCAACAAATTGAAGGCACTCACACCAGATTGAAGTCCCTGAAACATGAATAGACTATCAATTATATGAGATTTCATATCCATAGAAAACAAGTTAAAAACAGAGAGATGGATGGGAAGGGACAAAATACTTAAGAACAATGCAGAAGCAGAAAAAAAAAATTACCTCAAGCATG